TTTGTATTACATCATACTGTAAAATATTTTATTCATCTACTTGTCTGTTATATAATTACTCACGTTCTGTTAATCATTGATTGAAGATGGCATAAGCATGCCGAAACATGTCTCTCAAAAAAGTTGTCTATTGCTTACAATATTTATCACACTTGCTACTACTACGACCATATCAATAATTACCTGGAAATCATTGTGCTCATGGTCCAAGGGCTCCAGAGCACAATGTAGTGTTTTGTAATGCTTGTCAATTGGATGCTCCAGGGATTCCTCCTCCTCCTCCTCTTTCAAGGCTTTGACTGCAATTTGAATATCTCCTAACGCCTAAAAGAGATTATATCAAAATAAACATACATGTTTAATGTTCCATAATGCAAAATAAAGAAATCACAGCTCCCCAAAACTGTGTTGTCTGGCTAGACAGCTTTTATGAGCTTTCAATGTGCATTCATGAAGATTTTAATAAATGAATTCATGTAATTCATGTAAAAACATTTTCAGTACAATGACTGGCTGTGCAGCAAGAAAGTTAAAAAAAAAATCCTGTTTCCTTATTGGCCAGGTAATCAGGCAAGATGTGGCTGTCTTATTAGAGAAGTTGTTCAACATTCATTTGTCCTGACCTTATGCTTAGATGTGATAAGTTAAATATAAGCTAACTTTTCCAGGCCTATAGACCACTTTAATAAATGGCTGCCGGATTAATATTCTTTTGTTTAAATTTAAATTAGCCCTACTGGCCTCGCTTGAGATAATGTATTCTTTTGAATTTTGTACTGGAGAACGAGGCTAGTAGGGCTAATTTAAATTTAAACAAAAGAATACTAATCCGGCAGCCATTTATGAAAGTGGTCTATAACCTTTGCACTATAGACTGAGACCAAACATATTTAAGAACTTTGTTAACATGTATGAACAGTAGGACATTGTCAACATACCTCTAACAAATCCAGTTTGATCTTGACATCCTCTGCTGTCCTTATGAGAGGTGGTCTTTTCATCCTAAAGGAGGAAGGAACATGATGATTTTATTTGTTTTCTGTTTCACTGAAAAAAAAGAAAACATCTTAGAGCTTTATTTTCCTAGAAGGTTGTACAACCAAAACCAAACTTATAGCTGACAACAGCTAATCAGAAGGAAGGAATTAAATATCATCAGCAGCAAAAGAAAACTCAAAGTCAAAATACAAGTCGCAATTACTTCCAGTTTTGAAGCTGATTAGTTGAGAGGACAGCGAGGGCTTTCTGGACCAATCAAAAAACATAGTGAAGCAAAACTGACTTAATATCATTTCACTTTCAACAATCCATTGGAAACTGCTCTAGACATAACTTTATATGATTCAGGAGTTGACATACTGCAAAGCAAATCAGCCATCAGAAAGAAATACGAGACTTATGGTCTGATGACTCATATGTCAGGTTGATACTATCCACATACCCAAAACAGTGAGGGATTCTTGTGTAGAACTCATCACATGCTTTCACCAGTTTAGATCCAAAGTCACTGTTCCTAATGCAAGTATCAATCTCCTTCAGGGCTTCATACCCAGCTTTAATTTGATTGGTGGTGAGCTTTCCTAGAGAGATTGCATGGAAAATGCACAAAAGATTGGGTAAAAATAAGAAGGGCTTGACACCAACTTTTCAACTTACTAGCCGAGTGGCTAGTGATATCTTAAATGTTATGGAAATTTCCGTTTGTTTACTGGCCAAACTGGCCAGTGGAAATAAAAAACCACTGGCCAAAACTGAATTTCTACTAGTCTGTGGCTGGTGGGCTACGGTTAGAGTTGAGCCCTGAATAAGGCCAACTTCCCTTAAATCTTACAACAAGGAAATTTTTCATTAACCTTTGAAATGATCCCCATTTTCATTCTGTGACTTGATTTTCCAATCCCAGAAAAATATGATACAACAAAACAAAACGACAAGCCACTTGACTAAAGCTAAAATACAGTGGAATAGAAATGCTAGAGGTATAGATGCTCAGGATCAAAAAGGGAAAATCAGAGAAGTTGTATTCTACCAGCCAATTACTGTAAATTAAATAACAAGGATCACAATATGCCAGTTATTGTTACTGAAAACTAACCTATTGAAGCAGAATATCATGTTTCATAAAGTATCCCACAGTTAGTCAACCTCATTGTCTTATGAAGACTGACAGAATGTAGGGAAAACATCCTGATCTGCATCAGGATATGCTACACAGTCATTGTGAATCTGAAACAACAAGATCCTATCAACTTTAAGTATCTTTTGTCTAGATTGCATAGTTACCAAGAGGTGCCTTCCTGGTATCATAGTGCATCTCTTTCAACATTTCTTCCATTGCCTGTACACTGCAAATCAGTTCTATCAAGTTCTGGATTCTCTTGTCCAGTTTGCTTTCTAGAACAGGTTTTTCTTCTTTAACAGGTGCATCAACTTCATCTTTTTCCTCTTTGTCAGCATTGTAATCCATGATCAGAAGATCATACTTCCCTGGAACCTTTTGAAAGTTATGTCTGTTTCCCCAATTATTTTTTGTCTTGTCTGTGAATCTGAAAATGAGATTATTATTTTCCTAAAATGAAATTTATATTTTGTCATGGTTGACCTAGAAATGTTGTGTTGATTCTCTCCCTAACCAAACTTGAAAAGCCTTGCACAAGCAGTACTCCCTCTTTTCATTTAATTTTTTTTTCTGGTTAATTAACTTTTTCTTCTGGCCACCATTTCATGATATTGGGTCACCAAATGGCAATTTTAAAATAGTTGAGCTTAAAGACCAGCCAAATAGTTCACATAAATAGTGTAGACCACATAAATAGTGTAGACCACATAAATAGTAATTCCAATGCAAACACAGTGACCTTACTTTTTAGAGAACACTCTTTTAGCCTCCTCAAGATCTGGCCCACAGGTAACTAAGTTGTTTTGACCACTGAATCCCACTGAAAAAAAAAAAACACATGCAGATAGTATAAATAATAATAAAGGTTTAATAATAACAAAGGTTTATTAGCATTCCAAAAATGAATTGGCTCTTCTATGCTAAAATTACTACACTATTCTAATTATGCTATATCATATAATTTACAATAAATCACATTCTAATTAAGGATTAAAATATAAACAAGCTATAAGGCCTGAGATTCATGTTTCTAATCTTTTTCCAGCATTAGTAAAACGATATGATGTCAAATTACTCTTAAAGGATCGAAAGTCTGTACAGTTCCGCAGATAACTTGGTAATGCATTGAAAATGACTGCTGAGCTGTCTTTAAAAGTACCAGTTTCGATGGGCACCTTTAATCTGACTTCACAGGAAGAGTGTAGATTTCTTGCTGGTACGTGTTGTTCGAGTTTTAAGTACTGTGGCCAATAGTCAAAATATAGTGCTTTGAATACGCACTGCAGTAATTGATAACTTCTATGCTCTATCACCGGTAGCCAGCCCAGCTGGCCTTATGAATGTCAAAATGTGGTAAGAACACAAAAGTGACACATAAGGCAAAGCTGGGTATGTCACTGATGTAAGTATAACTTCTTGATACAATGTTACTTTTGGCCACAAATAATCCTGACATTGTTTGTGAATATATGGAAGTCATATATTTGAACTGCAGTTAGAGAACATGTATGACAGTGATCTTCGCTGTAATAAACACAGCTCAAGCAGTTGTAAAAAAAAAAAAAAAATGAGTCGTGTGTTCGAATCCTGTACAGGCCTGAATTTTTTTTCAGGCTCCTTTTCACAACTGCTTAAGTTGTGTTTGTTACTGCGAAGATGGCTCTCATACTCGTGATCCTATCATTATTTTCAGTGATCAGATGTTATTATCACAACCTCTTCCCCATCTTTGCCAGACATAGTACTTCTTTGCTCGGTTATCTTCCAGCAATTGAATGAGATAGAACTTGTTGTTGTTGTTCATGACATTTGTCTGCAAAAGAATTGAAACAGACAGCATATTTAGCACTTGTGAAATGGTAACAGAGGCTACATAATTTCTTTGTTGGGGTTCTAAGTTAAAGCCAATTTTTACTCTCTGGAGACCTACACGTTTTCTAAAAAATCTAGTTACCTTTTAAATAGTTTAAATAAATTGGTTCAGATTATTTTTGTTAAAAATCACTTAGACATCCATGGAATTAACAAAAAAAAACTGTGATGATATCAGTACACCTATTGATTCATTAATAATATTATTATACATTGCTGAGCAAAAGGGAAATGATAAGAGAGAAATTTATCAATGTTAAGATATTGCTTGATTTAGCATAAAATTCTCTGATCTAAATTTTAAGAATTGTGTGGTAGCCAGTGAGGAAAACTGATGACAGAATCTTAGAAGTGACAAGCATGAAAGAATTACCTGGTTTAGCATTACGTCCCAGATGTCGTCTCCTTGGGTAAACACATGAGTGCTGTCTTTAATTGTACAGAAACTGTCCACTGGAGCCTTTCCACAGAACACAAATGATTTGACATCACCTATAAGAAACACTGCTAATCAAATTTTTGACTTATCTATGTTAATCTCATTTAGGTACACCACTGAATCATGCAAGCATTCTTTCAGGTAAATACCAGCACTTTTCCGAGCAACAAAAAAATTTCAATTCACAGAATACTTACCATTTTCAGCTTCAGCTTCCTTTTTCACTTTCTTGTTTGCTATTGCAGTAATCTTATCTGCTGTCATTGCTTTGGGTTGGACCTTTGAAACTGGGGTGAGAAAAATTGTAATATCTAAACCACAAGATTCATCTTCAATCTTTAATCACTATGCGATCACTACTAATGATAAATCAGGATTGATGTCCCCAATAAGTTTTTGAAGAAAGCAAATGTTAGATGTGCTTCTTAATATCCCTCATTTGATTTCAAATCATTCAGTAAGGATTCTTGTGAACTTTGTACAAAGACACAAATGTAATTTTGCTTTCACATGTACAGATAATGTGGCCACCAGGTACACAGGGTTCTTGGGTTTTGGTAAATCCAAACGGTCTCTTGACAATTGTCTCTTAGCATCCTTTTCCATTTACTGTTCAACAAAGTATCAACAGTTTTACACCAAGTATAAGTTTGCATTACTGGTTGATAAATTTCCTTTATCTTTATTGTATTTCCTTTACCTTTACTGTATTTTGTGGGAGAGAAATATCATCTAAGTGATCACTTGCATTTACTGAAATAGCTACTTTGGTTAATATTCAGTAAAATAACAATGTTTTTTTTTTTGCACAGCCCCTATAAAACAATCAATTACCATCCCTTAATATTAAAACACTGTCAATATCAACTTACTAGCATCAGAGGCCTTGATTCGATGTACATTCTTCACTCCCCTTCCAGTTTTAGTTGTTTGAACTTTCTTTGCTAAATCAAGAATAAGTTCTTTTTTATCATCTTTGAATTTGATGCTGGACAATCCAACCATGTAGGCTGCCTCAAAAAGGTAAACAATAGGTTTGGAGTATTCTGTCCACTTTCCCTTAGCACCCTCATATTCCCAAGTATCTGCAGAGGAAAAAAGCAAGTAGCAAGCACACTATTAGAGCAATTTTGAATGAATTGTTCAAAGAGATTGGAAGGTTGTCATTAGAAGGTGGTTGGGAGCAGAAAACCCATCAGACCATTTTGTGCTGGCTTTTTGTGATCAAAGACAGATGATAAGTATTTTTTGAACTAGTTCTGACATCAATGTCACTCAAATACATGTATGTCCCAGGATGCTGGAAATCATATCTCTGAGAGTTCCAAACTTAATTTTTTTTTTTAAGGAAGAGCTACCTTCTGGCCCCCCTTCAGTAATGTGTTACTTTGCAACACACCATGCTTGCTATGCAACCAAAATTCAACTTAGCTGCTGACTCGTATTAAATTTTTCAAGTACATAGCTTCTATTTTTAAAGTAGGGGTAATAAAACTATCCTTTTACACCAACTTCCTCCTTTTTTCTTTTCACTGGACAGTCATAAAAGGAAGAGGCAAAGTGTACATCAATGTCTTACATTCATCTGGATCTACACTTCCATCCACCAGAGCACATCGCGTCCTAATCTCCCATCCAGTTTTCTTATTCCTCTGCACCATCCTCTCAAATATCACTGTGACCTCAGACTTGCCATCTTTAATATCCACGTCTGGTTTTCCAGCTTTGAAGGCTTCAATAATACCTCCAACCTGATCAGCAGAGTACTTTGTCCACGTTGACTTACCAGACTCTCTTTCCCAAGTTACTGGTTTTGGACCAGGTGAAGCATTAGTAGGTCTTGCACCATTTGAATCAAGTTTTGCCTTTTTTACGGGCTCACCATTTTTTGCTGTGTCCTGGTCATTAGTGCTGGCTAAAATTTTCATAGGAATGCATCATGTTTCATTAAGTACATTTTATTACTTGACTAATCTACGTTCTTATCAGATGATAATCAAACCAAACAACACAAAACAGTTGCGATAATATGCATTAGTAATTAAGCATGGCCGAATGAGTTCACCTCGCCTAAAATAATACCCAATAACATAATTAACTAGAGAAACGTTACGAGATTTTTATAGAACTTCTTTCTGTAGTGTTTCTTTTTGAGTCGTGTGCATATGTGAAAGTGCTACATACGGTACTATGCTTGAGTTTACCTAATTTACCTCCTCTTTTGTTCTATTCCCGTAATAAATACTAACTGATTATCATTATTTTAACCCAAAAGTTCTTTAAACTTTCGGAATACCTTTGATAGTCTTGATCATTGCGCGTAAAAAAGCTTACACAGTGTTCACGTGTGTAGTAGGGTTAGAAAATCACGTCCCAACACAGTTGGTTAAAAAATCTACGTGTATGATCAAAATGCATTTTTCACTTTCCAGTACTCACGTGGTGCTTTTCGTCGTCTCTTACTTTCAGACATAGAGCTCTAGCTATTTCATTTAGATTTTCACTTTTGTGGAACTACGCTTTATGGGAATTCAAGATGGCGATTAATGTTTGCCAAGGAGCTCTGCTTAGGTCAAATTGGCGCGAATTTGTTGTCGTCGCCAGTCTCTCTCTGTTTTAGACCATCGTTTCCGACGGAGCCACCCCTTCCTTCAAGTTGTAGTTTTGAACGTATTTCACGCGGACTCGTCGGTGATATTCAAGACGGCAGGGATTTTGCCTTTCTGCTTCTCCTCCTCCATTCTCCTCAAGATTAAAGCAACCTTTCCATGGCTAGTTGATCGATAAGAGAAATTTCACCTCAGCTAGCCCCCCCTATCAGTGGGTAGCCGCTAGGCCAAGCCACAATTTACCGATGAATCCCAAAAAAG